TTGTTGGTGTTTCAGAATTTGGGCTGTTTGGAACAAAATGTCAATTGGAAAAGTCTTTTAACCAAACACTTTTATTAGTTGTTTGATCTGGTCAAAACGCTGAATTCAGTCAAATCAGCCAAAAAATAGCTGATGAACTCCTAACCAAACACCCCTATGTAACAAAAGTTGAATTTGTATATTCATTAAAAAAAGTTAAAACAAATGATGGTTGGAAAGTTAAAAAAAAGTAGAATTTTAGTGTTTTACAAAAGTTTGGAATCGTGGTTACTCAAAAGGAAGAAAACTTAAACAAATGGTGTTAAATTAAAAGTGTTGATTAATTAATGAAGCGGTCCAGCTCAGCTGGTCGCCAACTCATTCTCCCTTACGGGAGGTCTCGAGTTCGAAACTCAATGGAGTGAGTTTCAGCACAATTTACTTCAGCCCCCCAAACATCCCCCATACGCCCCCAGGAGTATAAAAAATGTTGGTTAATTTAATTCAAAAGTTGGAGACTTTGTTCCGTGTGGGTATACATTTCTATTTTTCTTTTTGATCTCACAACTCACAAGATTTACTAAAGTTGATCAAAGCCAACATAACTATAATATTAATATCTTGGGCCTATTATGGAGAACCCAATAAACACGGGTGCATCACAATATAGCATCGAATCTTTTTCCTTTAAATTTAAAGGATGACACTTCATCCGTGAAAAGATGTAAATCGATCTGATCACACCCTGATATAAAGAGAGTGACATTCCAGCTCATATTTTTTATTGAAGTTGAACTTGGACCTATCTCTTGCAACACCTTCTTCCTACGATCCTACCAAGTGAACTGAACCCCGGGCTAGAATCTTTTTAAAAAGACGTGAAATGGCGTTGTTTTAGTATTTGTTAAAAGGATGACTCGCTTAAGTTATGAGGCGCGTGATCTTGTTTTGAATTTAAAAATACACTAAAATTTATTAGAAATAGTGAAATACAAATGTTGACCATGTTCCAAATACTGCAACATTACAACGGTCTGAGATGTGAAAGAACATAGATGGTTACTTTGTGGTTAATTGATCTAAAGAATTTATGGTTAATTTTAAGATTTTTTTATAAACATATTACTAAAATAAAACTTATTTACATAAGTATGACTATTCATTACTACAACGTAGTGTTGTGGTAACTTAAGTTCAAAACTTGAACATAAATTACTATGATTTCATTACTACTCTAGTAACTAGTCATATTTTTGTAAACCATCTTTATTTTAGTCATATTTATATAATTATTTCTAATTTTAATGTTATTGGCTCAAAGTATTCTATCCAATTGATAACAATGTTTCTTTTTTGTAAACAATTTTAACTTATAATTGTATATATCCTCGTTGAAGTGAATATAAACCGTTTCACTGCTAAAAATAGATCTCGTAAATATACCTTCCTTATTTAGCACAATTCTTAATTTTAAGTATCTACAGAGTATGTTTAACCATTAATTTAACCATTTTTAGAGAAATTTGATCCCAAAACGCTCTTCTTTAAGCTGACGGGATATTTGGTTAGGCAGATTAGATGAAGTAGAGCAAGAGAAGAGAAAATGAGACTACGAAATTGAAGTGACGTTGTTTGGTTGCGAAAGCAATACCAATAATAGTAATCTCTTCCGTGGGAAGATAATCGGCTGTTTTTACAAATTTAAATTTTTTTCTTTCAAAAAAAAAATAAAATTTTAAAGCTTTTGTAAAGGAGTTTACATATTGAAAGGTATGCTCTACAATGAAATAAGTTTTAGTAATGCTTTTGAAAAAACATCTATATATTTTTACATAATTCATACGGAGTATCAATTTACAATCATATCAAGTATTCATATAATTCTTCAATTGAATAAATTTTAGCAATATTAATTTTCAATTTACCATTTGTAATGATCGTGTTCTCTCAATTTTTAAATTGCTTTATATTTGGTTTATTTTTTTAAATTGCTCTATATTTGGTTTTATTTTTAGTTTAAAGAACTGATTATATTTTTCGTGTGTGCATCAAAGTTCCCAAAGACGGTCATGTTGTCGGATGCTGGCGCCAACACCTCTATGCCAAATTTAACCACTCATACACAAATGATGATGTTAATGTTTAGAAACAATATTCATAGCGATATTGCTACTGTGTGGTACAATTTTCTCTGTCATAATAAAAGATAAAGAAAACTTCTTAAATAAGCATAAAATATAGACCTATTATTCATATTTGTAAAACTTTATTATGAGAAGCTTTAAGTCCAGATATAAATGAACTATTTGGAAATAAAAATTTGCTAGGTAGTCTTTTTTTTTTGTTGATTCTCTCATTAATTCATATTAGTGTGTTTTTTATTTATCAAGTACAAGGTATTATTTATATTTGCATTTATTTTTGTACATCGTTGTGCAAATTCTCTTATATTTCATATCTTTCTGTTCATTTGTAAAATAATCTGTACAATTAAATAATGCTTAGCACAACCTTATGAAAAATAATTGACATGTGGCAAAGCTCTTTGTAAAATAATTTGACATGTGGCAAAACCTTATGAAAGAACAATCATGTGTTAAATAACTTTATCATAGCAATTACGTGTTACTTATACTCTTTGGCCTTTGCAATTATATTGTGCATACAATTAATAAATGAATATCAAAAGACACTATAAATATGTATTTGTGCATGTAATGAAAACCTTTTCCATTTCCAATGAAAAAGAAGAGATTGTAAACTAAAAACAAATAACTCTTTCGTTTCACTTCATAAAAAGTTACTACGTATAAAACTATGAGAGTTTTATTATGAGATCATAGTACAGGTAAAAATCAGCTCAGATCAAACCAAATTTCGACAATATTAAAATACATAGTTTGTTTCATTTTTGGTCCCCTGATTATTGTGTCAATGACACTTTTGGTACTCGCCTTTTTATTTTTTCATTTTTAGTCTTTGACTATTGTGCTAAAAACACTTTTAGTCCGCATTTAGTCCCCTCAGTATTACCAAATTGACACTTTTAGTCCTTCCACTATGATTTTGACACAATAAATGGAGGACTAAACATGTAACTAATATATAATAATTGAAAGACTAAAAGTGTCTAGTGGGAGGTCTCGAGTTCGAATCCCGTTAGGCACACAAGGGTTTGAAACTCAATGAAGTGAGTTTCAGCCCTGATTACTTCAGGCTCCCCCCAGCCCCCCTCCCCCAGACGCCCCCTGGAGTAAAAAACAAAAAAAAAACAAAAAAAAAAGACTAAAAGTGTCACTTCTATGAAATGTTAATTTCACAATTTAAAATATTTTAGCATTCATGAAGATACAATTAACATTCTAAATTTCTATTATAAAATAAATAGTATTATCCCCACTATATAATTGCAACATTTTCAATTTGTTGTTTTAAATTATGTAATCAACACCATAAATTTACATTTTTGAAAAATATATAATACATGACCATGGTGTTAAAATAACTTTTCATATAAAGTTTAGGTTATTTAAATTACATATGAAAGTTTGAGGTATTTATCTCCCACCCATTCAAAGTTTGGGGTATTTTAATTATTTTTCCCTTATTAAGTCATATATTTTCAATATCACATTAGTTGTACCAATACAAATGATTTTACTAACCGCATTCCCAAATGAAAGAAAAGATGAATTATACTTGCTCAATAAATTCTTCACATTGAACTTTGACATTATTTGTTTGATTGATTACAGAACTCACCACACGATGTCAAAATTATTATGTTGAGTTAAAAAATGAAAATAAGCATCAACCATACTAACCTTTACAAAATAAAGTGGGATACAATCATGTATTTAAATTTAATCTAATGACGAATACAATCTTAAAGTCAGAAAAAATCATTGTGACTAATTTATAAAATGATCTTATTTTATTAAATGGATCTGGAAAACTGGAAAAGTGATAATTCCATTTATGCATAAAATTAATAACAAGAATCATGCAAAATTGATTAGAAAAGGTGATAATTTCAAATCCATCATTTTCACTACTTTTTACCACACAAACAAGCAAATAAAATTACCGTGCGATGCACGGGTGTACACACTAGTATCATTATATGTTGTATTGATTCATCATTCTCACAAATTACACTACTAATTTACTATGTTTCTCGAGGGAAAAAATTGAAAGGTTTTTTTAATAAATGAGGGAGGTGAAATAATTGGTCACATGTCAATATTGGTGCACGAATAGAATGAAATTGGATAATGAGAGCCCTTTTTGTAAACCTGTTTTTCGGCTTCTCAGACTTATCAGTTAAATTTTTCATCAGACACGTAAATTTAGATCTCACGCATTAAATTGTGTAATAATAAGAAAAAGTGAGGTTGGAGTTACTTTTTCATCTGTATTGGCTGAAGTTACTATAGAGGACCATTTTAGCTATTTTATATATAATTTTTTCTTTGTTTTATTAATAAAAAAATTAAATTTAATTTTTTCATAAATTAGCAGAATCAGCAAATGTAGCCACTTCAGCTAGAGTTTTATAAATTTCAACAGAATCTGCTAATTCAGCCGATTTTTGTATTACCAAAAGGGCTTTGAATGATATTGAAATTGTATAAAGTATGAAATAATGACAAATATATTATCGAATAAATGTAAGGACAAAAATATATTATCGAATAATCACTATTAGTAACTTTGGTGATTATGATTGTGTTCAACTTTATCACAATACTGATTATGCTCACTAACTGTAATACTACATAATATTTTTGTTCATTATTATATTTCATAAATATTTAAGAAAAAAACTCATAAAGTATGAGGATTCAGCAAAAAATAAAAATGTATAAATTTTTAATTGAATATTTTTAAATGATAATAATTACAATAAAAAAGAAAATATTGTAATTATTTACATAACTAACATAATAACTAACATAATAAGGACTCAAAGATTGGATTATTATTATTGAATAAAATGGAGTCCGTAAAGTTATTAAAAGGTGACATTTTCTTGCTGGAGACAGGAAATGCCCCATGAAAGGCAAGAAAACTTAAAATCTTATCACCCGGGCTCATTAATCATCCCAATTCCCTGGTAAATTCGATTCTCTACATTCATTGTTTATCGAACTTCTCTTATTTTTGTTCTGATCGATGATGGTTCGTTTATAAGAATTAATTTATAATCGGTAGAAAATGTTTAAAAATAGGCGTTATGTATATGACTTTGATTTAGATGAATTAATTTCACAGGAAATGTTCAACATATGAGAAATTTAATTTGGATGTGTTTTTCTTCTATTTTTGTTTTCAATTGGGTTTCCATAGCTTTATGATATAAGCATTCAATAAATTTGGTTTCCATTACTTTTAGATTGATTAAAGCTAAAGTGTTCTCTTATTCCCTTAAACTAAAATTTAGTAAACTCTTATCTGAGGTTGAGGTAATGTGGTTGTAATCTCAAATTTGGTTTCTCTTTTTCGTGTGAGGTTAGTGGCTTAGGGCAGAGCAAGAAGCGAATTTGATTCTTGTTATGATTAGGGTTGATGTTCTAAACTTGATGTGTACATTTATACAATGGGTTGCTTTTAAGGAAGAGTTGTGTGATTCTCATCACCAGGTAGCTAATGCTGCTGCTAATTAAATTCCCAAAGCTATTAGCAGTAAACACCTCCATTCATTGGAATTATTCCTCCGGAAATCTAACAGGCGGAAAAAGCACCAAACGGCCACTTAGTGAAGAAATGTTTTCACACCAAGAGTTTGAGTGTTTTCTTGGCTGATTTATGCGTTTGATTTCTAAAATCTTCATTCTGAGGACAAATTCACCTTCTAAAGGAAACTAAGAGCTACTTTTATGTTTAATTCCAGGGTAAGTGTTTTTGAATTATATATACTTGGCATGTACCTAGGTTTTGATAATTGGTTTGGGGTTAGTTGGGTGTGAATGGCTGTTACCTCTGAAGAGCTTAGTAGAGAAAACCCAATTGATCCATCCCCTTTGCTCATGGAGGGAGGAGAAAATTGTCAAAAGGAAGAACACATCATTAATATAGAACGTGTGGGTGATGCTTCATCATCAGATTCTTCTGATTATGAAACTCCACATGGACTGAGTCCACCTCATCATGAAGATAGGCCTTCATCTTCATCAACTCGTTCAAATTCGCAAAGTCCCATGGTCACAAGGAGAGGTGAAGGATTAGGTCGCCATTTGAGCCCTTTTAATATCTTATTGTGGATGACCATTGAGCTCTCTTTCACTCTAGGAAAAATCATAGCCGCCATTGTTGTATTATCCATATCAAGGCATGAAAAGCCGCGAACTCCATTGTTTGCTTGGGTTGTGGGGTATGTGGTTGGGTGTGCTGCAAGTCTTCCTCTCCTGTATTGGCGTTATCATCATCGTGGTCAGGCCACTGGACGGGGGCCGGCTCAAGGTTCACGCAGAGTTAGTTCCACATCGGATCCCAACTCTTATATTACATTCTCCTTGACCCAGTCTTCTGAGGATGAAGGTGGCCAAAATGCAACTGATAACGATGAAGCTCGAAATGCAAGGTAGCTAATTATCTGTTCATTTTCTTTGAACAAATCAGACGGATGTTTATTTGGTGATAGGATATTCTTTTTGTCTGAACTCTGAGAGTTCGACGCATACACATTTTTCCATTTTGTGAAATTTATGTTGACATTGGGATCCATTTGGATCTCATAGATAGAAGATCAGGCTAAAAGTCGATAAATTTATTTTAGCTATTAGTAGATAACTAGATACTCATTTTGTTTATTTATTTCTATTATACAGACTTAACATATGTACAATTTAGATAAAGGATAAGCATGTTTCATTTTATTTGCATCTTCTAAGGTAAATCCAAAAATAAGAAAGCAAATTTTCTTTGAAGTTATTTCACTTCCCCAGATTTTTCTTTAATATTCAACACACCCTAACATTCAGTAGGACAATAGATTCTTGTGTTTCAAAGAGAATGTGAGGGGGGGAGGGGGGGGGTAAATAATTGTAGGTAATCAATATATTTATGTACGTTTGTTATTGTATAGGCTACATATGTGTACCCTTAAATATAAAAATCATATTTCATTTCTTTTGCTTTTCCAAGGTAAAACCAAATATAAAATACTCTATATAAATTTACGTTGAAGCTTGTACCTTTCCCTTGTTTTTCTGTTATCCAAACACACCCCAATATTCAGTACGATAGTAGATAGATGTGTTTTAGTTAACTATGGTACATTATATCTGGTTCAGTCAGCCCCTTACAAATGTTCTTGTCAGGATTGTTGCATTTAGGAGCCACTTCAAAATGGCATTGGATTGCTTCTTCGCGGTTTGGTTCGTTGTTGGAAATGTTTGGATCTTTGGTGGGCATTCCTCCTCCTCTGATGCTCCCAATTTGTATAGGTAATGTCTTATCCCTTTCCTCTTTCTGCTTTTGTTAATTCTGATTCCCTGACACTTGCAATACCAACCTGCTGTTTACTTGATTGGCAGGTTATGTATAGTTTTCCTCACCTTTAGTTGTATCGGGTATGCCATGCCTTTCATCTTGTGTGCAATGATATGTTGCTGCCTTCCCTGTATCATATCATTCCTTGGTGTTCGTGAAGATATGAATGGAATGAGGGGGGCAACTGAAGAATGTATTAATGCTCTGCCCACTTATAAGTTCAGACCAAGGAAAAATGGAGAGAATGGATCTGGTGCTGAAGGAGCCGGTTTTTTGGAAGCTGGTATGGATAAGGAACGATCCATATCTGGTGAAGATGCTGTAAGTTTTTCCCTCCCATGGCCGCACGGCCCGCACCTGCCCCCGACTAAGCCCCAGTTGGGAACATCTATGGGTGGGCCCACTTTCTCGGCCTTTTGGCTAAGATCAAGTGTAGTATTTGTTCTTGTCAGTTTAATATCTGATATGTGGGCCATTGGCCCACACGATATTAATTCAATTTTTTTCGGGGAAGTGCCCAAATGCCCAATAGGTAGCTTGCTATCTGGGCTCTTGGGCGTTGCCTTAGCGTTGCACTCCTGCTTCAGCCCGGCGCACCGCGCCATAATGAAAAAAAATAGAGGTATTAATTGTGTTTAAAAAAGGACGTTATAAAAATTTTCTACAATCTAATTTATACAATTACATTTTGTTTGGTTCCAAAAATAACAAGATTTAACTTTTATGGAGTATTGCGTTATATATGCAAATCTTTAAAACTGAGTTATTGGCACTTTTTTGTTTGCTTATGTTTTTGATAAGTGATTTGTTTTAGTGATTAGAGAGAAGGGAGAAATGCTTAATAGCAAAACTGGTAGTATTTGAAAATATAAGTAACTTTAAAAAAGTGGAAATGCTGTGCGGTAAAAAAGTATTCCCTCCGTCCTGAAATAATTGTCTTATTTGCTTTAGCACAGGTTTTAAGAAAGTGGTTGAAAAGGTAAAAGTTGTGGTTGAGATTTGAGTAGAAAAAAATGAATTGATATGAGCCACATATTATTTCCAAGAGGAAACAAGGCAAATTTTTTGGACATCCCAAAAAGGAAAGCAAGACAATTATTTTGGGACGGAGGGAGTAACTTTATTGTAATATTTGGGTAAAATAGTAGTACAAAGGAACTGAAAAGCAATCTAAGGACTTTCCCCTTTGCTTTTAGCTTTTACCATCAATGTGCTTCAAATTAGGAAAATGCTAGGGGTACACAAATTGTACACACAATGTCGGTCACAGACAATTGGTACGGAATTACCTGTGACCACAGACAAGAGTTGTCTGTGTACACAGACAAATTTTGTCTGTTTCCACAGACATTTACTTTTTTGTAAAAAGTACTTGTCAGTGTCAGGCGGCTCTCAGTGTACTTTTTACAAAAAAGTAAATGTCTGTGGAAGCAGACAAAATTTGTCTGTGTACACAGACAACTCTTGTCTGTGATCACAGACAACTCCGTACCAATTGTCTGTGATCGACATTGTGTGTACAAGTTGTGTACAACTTGTGTACCCCTAGCATTTTCCTTCAAATTAAGAACACTATTTTTACCTTTATTAATGCATAAAGCACCAAAGTGCTTCCAAATCATAATGGACCATGTTCCACTAAACAGTGTAAACTTTGACCATGATATTGAATATGGTTGTGTCAATTTTCATTGACATTTGAATCTTTCTAAAGCCTCGGAATAGCTAGTGACGGCCCTAGTGAGCTCGTGGTGCTTTTAAAGAAACATAGGTTATCATTATTTGCTGCCAAAACATCTCTTGAACTGTTGCTGCAGGTTTGTTGTATATGTCTGTCTAACTACGAGGAGGACGATGAGGTGAGGGAGTTAACTTGCTCCCATTTCTTCCATACAGAATGTGTGGATAAGTGGTTGAGATTAAATGCATCCTGCCCGCTCTGCAAATGTGAGATTGGAGCTGAAAGTGAAAACTCTCCATCCGCAGCTGAAGTTATTCAACAAGTGTGATGTGATAAATGCTTCAAGAGATCTTGAAAACCCCCATTACTGCAACAAGTGAAGCAGTCTTGTGGTGATTGGTAAGCCAATGGCAATATTACCCTTGGCATTTCATTACTGCTGCTTAAATTCTTGTGAAGATAACTACTTTAAAGAACGGCCAGATTTTAATCCTAGATTTTCAATGGACAAATATGAAACACTAAGGGCCTGTTTACTAACATAGATATTTTCCAGTTTTCCAGAAAACTGGAAAACTGGAAAACAGAAAACAAGAAACGTGTTTACCAAAGAAATTCCTGGAAAACTAGAGAAAGGAAGAAAGAAAAACGCGTTTACCAAATCGTTTTCCAAAACGGAAAAAATGAGACATGTCTATCTTTTCCTTAATGATTTGGAGAAGTGACTTTTACTAGTTTTCCAAATTTGGAAAACGCAGATGCTACAGTGCCGCTGCAATGAATTTGCATACGTACACCTAGTGGTGGGTCCAGTCCCTCTTCGATGTCGATTCCATTCCGGTACCATCCATCCTCGTACCTTACCCCTTACCCCTACCCTACCCTACCTTAACCACCTAACCCCACCCCGCATACCCATTTTTCCCTACAATGACCCTACCCCACCCCTTACCACATGCCCCTACCTCGGCCCCACCCCGATCCACCCTACCGCCACCCCCTACCACCTCGACCCCACCCCGACCCACCCTACCCTACCCCCACCCATATATTACCCCTTACCACATGCGCCTACCTCGGCCCCACCCCACCGCCATCCTACCCCCACCCTCGTACCGCCATCCTACCAGCACCCTTCCGCCTAGGGGTGGACTCGGGCCGGGTGGCCCGACTCGAAAACGGCCCAGCCCGGCACTGTTCCGGGGCCCCCATTCCTGAACCGGAGGCCCGACCCGGGCCCGAATCGGCTCGAGTCCACCCATACTTCCGCCATCCTACCACCATCCTACCCCCCACCCTACCCTTCCCCTACCTTGGCCCCACCCAGATCCCGGGCCCACCCTACCGCCATCCTATCCCACTACCCCTACCTTACCCCAACCCTACCCACTACCCCCACCCTTACCGCCATCCTACCCCCACCCCTTCCCTACCTCGGCCCCACCCCGGTCCCGGACCCACCCTACTGCCATCCTATCCCAACTCCATATCCTACCTCTACCTTACCCCAAACCCCTACCCACTACCCCACCCTTACCCCTAACCACGACCCTAACCCACCCACTACCCCCCACCCAACCCCCTACCCCTAGACCTTACCACCCCACCCCCGACCATACCCCTTACCCCACCCCGACCATACCCCTTACCCCACCCCCACCCATAACTTCCCTACCCCGACCGCTACGAGTAGGTATGGGTGGGTATGAAGGGTTGTGGGGGAGTATGGGTAGAGTGCAAGATCGTGGTAAGGGTAGGGGTCAAGGGTGTGGAATTGGAGATCTGGGTAAAAAAATGATAAACATGTTTTCAGATTTGAAAATGGAAAACTAAAAAATAGAAACATAAAATTGGAGATAGAAAAATTGAAAAATAAAAACAGAAAATTGGAGAACGAAAAACAGAAGTAGAAAACAGGAAAATATCTCTGTTAGTAAATAGGTCCTAATATTTCCAAAAGAGTGACCAAAGACTAAATTTGCTCAACTAATTCTATCCCTTTGTTTTTTTCTCTCCCGCAAAAATCTCTCTCAACTATTGCAATGACAGTGAAATGCCTCTAATGCTGGGCACCGAAATTCTCTCTGGAAAGTCATCGCAAATGACAGTGACATGTTGTGGAGGTGTCACTAGCAGTGGCCAGTGGCAGTTGAAAGTGACATGCCAAAAGGGGCATATTTAGTCTCTGCTGTGGAAATTAAAGTAGTTGCATTTGTTTTCATGTTGGAGGAGAACCTCCTTTGTTTAGCTGATTAAAAGATTTATTGATTTATTGATTTATTTATGTCAAAGGTGATTGAAGGATGCAGGGAAGCTTACGGTGGCAGATTTCCCAGTAGAGAGGTGTCATTGCTTTGCTATTTTCATGTGTTAATACTTGTAACTTGTAAGTGATAGAAACCAGATAACAGTGAGGGGTAATTAGGGAAAAAGAATTGGTATGGTGTAAGACTGCAAGTTATGTTTTATATTTATTTTTTTCGCAATGAAATAGGGAAGTTCAGCAACTCAGATCAATATAACTTGTCAAGAATCAGGTAGAGACATCAGAGAGTAGTTCACTTTAGTTTCCCATGAAGTATAACAATATGCAATAGGAACAGTGAAAAAGGAATGAAGAAAAGGGTAAGTTGGTAGCTTGTTAGATGCAGGAATATGGGCTATTTTAAACCAAAATATGGAAGGAATATATGGGTTTTTAACGAGTACGAAAAAACTGCTCTTACAAATGCCAAACAGAGCATCAATAAATTGTTAGCCGAAGATTGCTAAGAAAGGTAAAAAATTATACTGTTTCTGCTCAAGAAATCATCGCAAAAGCAAACACATTACTACCATATATGGTGGTAATAGAGAACAAACACATTACTACCAGCAGGTACTATGGGCATTCTTCCAGGAAAAAGACGATGAAAAAACTAAATAGCTCAAAATTATGCTGAATTTTCTACTGATCCCACATTTTGGATAACAAATCCATATATCTTCATCCTCAACCTCTCAATCTTTTCCGCCAAGCCCTCTTCTTTCCTGGAAATTTGGTCCAACCAGGTGTTGACTCTCTTCAGCTGGGAAAGAATGGACGCGATTGGGCCACACTTGAGATCTTCTCCATCTACTTGGGAAGGGCATCTCTGGAGAACCTGAAAACCAACTTCCAACGAGTCCTTAACAAACCCGAGGAACCATAATTCCATCTCTGCTTGCAACTTCTTTGCTAGTTCCAGAGTCTCATTCATTCCTTCACCCCTTTTCCAAACTGGAGAAGAAGAAACTGGTCCAGAAAAAGGTTTGATAGATGATAATGATGATTTTCCATGTTTCTTGGGTGCACTTTTCTCAAGAGGGGATGGTGTAGGTTCTAAGTTGTGGTCTGTTGTTAGGAGCGAGACGACTTCAAGATCAGTTGCTAAAGCAGCCTCAACCCAAAGAGAAGATGGTTTGTTGGACTGATCAGTTGAGAAATTTTCTTGAAGTTCTGGTGAAGAGTGGGTAATGGTGACTGATTCAACAACTGATGTTGATTTCACCACATCTTCATAGACAGACAAAAAGCGGTCTATTGTAGGCAACGGGTTCTCAGCCTTCTTTGAACTTGAACAGATTTCAGAAAACATGCTGCCAAAAAAAACAAAATTACATTAAATGTTATTGTTACATGTTAATGAGGCAAACATGGACTGATCACCATTCACTTAAGCTGGTTCTAAATACGACAAATACACTCAAGCAATCATACCAAAAGTGAAAGTCCGATCCTAGTTGAACCTAACTTGTTTCTTTTTTATTTTCCCTGCTAAACTACTGAAATGTGCATTCAATCAGTTACCTAGTTTTCAATTTCTTTTCTTTTTCTTAACAATCCTCCTTTGAGGAGAATAGATATTCGCAGCTAAGTATCATTATAGAAAACCATAAGAGATAATTAACTAGTATGGTCCACCATTATCCCCCATAAATGGCATGTAGAATTTGAAAACATCAATAGGAGTTATTCTATTTATATCATACTATTTTACCTAGAGGTTAGAAAATTTAAGGCTTTAGTAGTATGCATTCACACACCTAGAATGACACTTATAAAAACGATTGTGATTATTGCTTTGCTTTAGTGGAACTGGTATCATATTGATTGTCATCAATCAAACAAAAGTAAATTAGTCAAATTCAATGGATTAAGTCCGTTATACCTCAAGCCTCTAACAATGGATTCAGTGGCAAGGGCCTCTTCTAAAGCATCTGCGGCAGCCTTTGAGGCAACAACTCTTCTTTGCCTAGCTTCCTGCAACAAGTTCTCTCATCACCATCAATTAATCCTCAAAATTGCGTATCTTCATTTTGCAAACGTCACATTTTTGTTTGAATTGAGCTTATATGTAAAAGTCATGTAAGCTCAAGACAATGCATGTTGTCATATCAAATTTACTAGCCTTTCTATGAATACCTTTCCAAGTATTGCAAGGTCAGGAGTGAGCGAGTCTAGCGGAACACTGCCATCTGTCCATTTCTTCTCATGAATTCGTATGACTGGAGCCATGTTCAGCTTCTCTGATTCTACAGATCGTTCTGCACATTTCACCTTTTCATCACTTGCACCATCATCTTGAGATATACTTGCATCACTCAAACGCCTAGAAATGGCAGCCTGTCAAGTAAAAGATTAGAGCACATGAAGGAGAACAACAAAATCACAAATACTTGCATTAATCTGAGAAATCTGAAATTTATAATAGTTAGTAGGATAAAAAGATGAAAAAAGGCCACAGATAGCCTATAAAACATCTAAGAAATGCTTTCTTTACCTGAGTTCTGAGAATTGCCTGCAAATCGGGCTTATTCCGGGTGGCTTTGAAGTCCGACAGCCCAGCTGAGACAGCTGGACCTTCATCCCAACTCTTTCTACTAGATTTACTAGACCCGACAATTGCCTCGGAGACCTTGGAAATTCCGGCAGCAATAGCTGTTATCTTCTTTTTTCCTGAAGAATCTTTCACACCGGACAACCTCCGTGCAGGCGAGAGAGACATCCTTCTTGAGACCACCGGACTTGCTTGCCTCCTACCCGATGTCGGCGAAGGCTGCCTGTATCTTGAAGGCACTATGATGGCCGCCTCTCTTGACGTCCGGCGATTCTCCTCCTTGGCTGACACAAGGCTAGGCACGACACACTTGGATGGCACGGGTGATGCTGACCTCTTCACTTTTCCAGCAGGCGATGGATCTCTCTCCGCAGCAACGCTTTTCTTACTTGAGGATAGTGACCTCTGCCTCGCAGATCCTGGGGACGAAAACCTTTGAGGAGCAGCCGGCGCCGGTGTAGACTTCTCAGGCACAGTTTTATTTGAAGGGTCTTCCAAACCAACGTTCTCCTTTGCAGAAAAAACTTTTCTGTTACCAATTTTGTCCTCATCTTTACCGGTCCCCTTAATTTCATTCTCACTTCTTCCACTTCTCGGCAAATATGCAGCAATGGGGTCCGAATCCGTGACTGGCTGGATAACAAACCCTCCGTTCTTAGGAGAGATCCGAGCGATTAGAGGCTCAGGGGACCCAACAGAGCTGTGCCTACCAGCTATCGGGCGGATATTGAGTGCGCGTGGGACGGGTGGGGAGTCAAAGACGAAGCGTTCGACATGGACAAACTGACCTAGCTGAAGACGGTTGGTGAGGATGAGATCCGTGTCTCGGTCGGAGAGGGAGACGTAGGTGGAATTCAGAGAGTCGGAGAGTTGAACATAGAACCCGTGATGTGCCCACAAGGAATCGGACGTGGAAAGCGCCGGCACGATTCCAATCACCTGGAGGAGCGGAGAGCGGTGGTCGCCGGTGACTCTGGCGTTCGTGTTCATCGACTGGAGGAGCTTCAAGAGGATTCCTGGTGTAAGAGTGGCCATTGTGCTGGAGATTTGCGGTGTGACTGGCTATGGAGGTATGAAGATGGTGGCAGAGAGATTTGAAGAAGAGAGTGAAAATGGCCGTTTAGTGGATTTGAAAATTGGAAAGCGCGCTTCGATGCCCCTGCCTATTATCACGGAGTGTACATTATTAAATCAACAATGATAAATTTATTTTAAAATTTTCAAATTTTGTTTTCGTGACTCCAGAATGTAACGGCATCCACGATAGTGATTAGTGACGATACTCCTATTAATTACTACTAGAAGAATACTCCGTATAATTATGATATCAGTAAAGAAAGGTTTTTTTTTATCATAGGAGTTGTAAAAGAAAAGTTTAAGACAAGTACTTTGTCTCACAAAATTTTCCTCCATTTGATTGGATCAAATATTAAGAAAGTGAGAATATATAATTGTGATTTAGTAAAAAAATGTAAATGGATGTTAACTACACAAAATATTCTAATTAAAGAAATGAAAGAAAAAATGAGACATCTCAAAATTTAAGTAGAAAGAATTTAATGTGATGGAGGGAGTACATAATTTTTTTTTTACTAAAACTGCATCTTTAATTAAGTATTTTGGCACATTTATTGTAAGCAAAGTAACTTTTGTCTAACTACTCCACCGCGATGCTTTCTTGCAATGTCACTAACGTAACCTCAGTGACCATAAAAGGGAGAAAGATAAAAAATGACACCAAGATTTTTAACGAAGCTCGGATTAGACACTAAAGTTTTAAGTAGATCAAATAAACACAAAATTGTAGTTTTTGGTTCCATTTTGACCACCTTTAACGTGTCTGTTAAACAATCCTTCCGTTTCTTTAACACCCCATCGTTCCAAACATCACCCACAGCCCCTGCCCCACACAAGCCCAACACCCTGCCCCTCCCAGCTCCAGATCCGAGCAGCCAAACCCCGCACCTCCCTAACCCGAGCTCCGACCAGCCATCCCCAACCTCCCAAACCAGCCCCCACCCGAGCCCCATCCACAGCCCCACGCAACCCCCCTCTCAGCCTCTTAGCCCTCGTCACCAGCCCAACGTCATCCCTCACCTATTGTCGCTGCCTACAACTGCACCGTCGCCCACCCATACCCAATCTTACATCAAGGGTAGAAATATAAAAGCAGGAGATGAAGTCTATTTTACTTTCCCGGCTGAGAAGAAATTGAATTCGCAGTTTACTAGGAAACTTGGCTGAGGTCGACATATGGTTGCTTGCTCTGAAATCGTCGTTTCTCATCAAAGGCTCTTGGAGAGGTACTTATTTAGTTTCATGTTACTCCAAAAATTCAGTTTTGTTGAACAAGTTTTCTGGCCCTATCACTTTCCTCCTTATTATCACATTTCCTGTGAAAATCAATCAGACGTTAGCTGAAATTCCACTACATCTTTGACAGCGAAGCAGAGGTGAAACAACAGCGGTAGTTATAGCTAGGGTGATGTCGTGATTATGCGATGGTGAAACAACGGAGGTAATCCTCGAGGCAGGGCGATCGACCTCCATTGTTGCCAGCTGCTCTCCTTAATACAGATCCATGCCATTGTTGTCTGCTCCCCTGAATCCAAGCAGCTTTAATCAAATGGGGGAGTTAACGATGTAGAAGGGCCGTTTAACATAGGAGTTAATGGGTGAACCAAAAACTATAATTTTGTGTTTATTTGGTCTACTAAAACCTTAGTGTCTAATCCGAGCTTCGTTAAAAACCATAATGTCATTTTTGGTCTTTCTCCTGACCATAAAATGGCAAATTTTATTTAAAAAAAAAATATTTATACTCATCTTTATACGCACTTTTATATATATCATGTTTGTGAAAGAATTATTTAATGTGAATCTCATTCACAAACAAAATAGGGAAAAGGGGCAAATCTCCCCCTAAAGTTACCACTAAAGGGCATCTAAGCCCTTAAACTTAATATTGGAGCAAAAAACACCACATTCCATTAAAAGAGGGCATCTCCCCCCCCCCCCCCCCCCCCCCCTAACAGTTGACGCACGGGAGTAGTTAACACTTGACAGCCTGGGTTGAGAACATGTGGTAAATGCAAACCTGACTAGACATAAATAGATTATACCTCAAAAAATTATAAAATACTCATAAACCAAAAACTTCACTTGCAGAAATTAATCAGCCACTTAATAGCCTGTGTTTAATTAATCATATTTTTTAACTACTTGCACGAATTATAGAGTTAAGGTGTTTTTAGCTAGAGAAAATTCTAGGGTGTATTTGCATTCACCATTTGTTCACAAGTTAACTACTCTGTATGTACTCGTATATTGTTAGGGAAGAGGCAGATGTCCTCTTTTAATGGAAAAGTGAGTTTTTCGCTCCAAAATTAAGTTTAAGGGCTTAGATGCCCTATAGTGATAACTTGGGGGGGTGTGGCCCTTTGTTCCCAATAAAATATGTTTTCTTTTGTTTGTGCAAATTGAAATCTAATGTGGAATGCGTTGGCACGATTCCAATTTAAGTAAAGCACATTTTAAATAAAATCTAAGGTAATCGAATATAATTAAATAAACATATTATTAAAAAAACATACTCCATCCATTCTAGGTTGTCACACAATTGATAATATTTGACTAATCATAAAATTAGTTGATCCCAGTCAATAATTATATTATTTTTAATAAATAAAATTTACATATTCAAAATTACATTACAAACATTTACGTTGTCTGGATAATAGTGGACGAGAATCTTTAAGTGGAAGAGTCGAAAAGAAATTAAATGTAAAAAGGTAATTAACTGATGATATTTTCGAAAGAAAATTATGTCATTTTCGAGAGTCGGGAATGTCAAATAACTTGCACCTCTGAGAATATTCTCCAATTTTTTCTCAATTTCACGAATCAAACATGGACATCTAACATTTCTTGTATCAAAATTCCGACCTTCATGTGAGATTACCACAAACCAAATGGATCATTAGTAGCCACCAATCGCCGATCTTCTCTTTTTTCCATGTCAAAATTATAAGCCACATTTTTTCCTCTTTGTTTTTTATTTATTCCTTGTGAGGACCTGAACCAGGGACGGAGGCAGGAACCGATGTCAGTGGTGTCAATTTAACAAAGCACTATTTTTTAAGCATAATACTATTATATAATAGTCTATACACATACTCCCTCCGTCCCCTTTTAAATGTCCCGGAGGAGGGTGGCACGGGTTTTAAGGAAAGTGGGTTTGTGTGGTTGATATTAATTGATAAAGTAAGAATAAAGTAAGAATGATTTTGAGCCACACAAACTTTACCAAATAAGGTATGAGACATTTAAATAGGGACATCCCAATATGGTAAAACGGGACATTTAAAAGGGGACGGAGGGAGTATAAAGCAAAAAAAGCAAATATTGTCATTAATAAATTAAAGTACTAATGCACAACTGTCCGGCCACGGCGCGTTTTCATATTTTGAAAATGTTGTACAATTTTTCTTGGCAAAAGTAGAAAATCAGCCCTCGAACTAACTTAAAAAGTGCAAATCACCCCTCATATAGGAGGCTCTATCTGGCCGTCGCATTTGAGGCAATTCCCAATGGAATTTTTTGATGATTTTTTGCTAAATTTGGGGCGGTTACCCATACCAAATTTTAGCTAAAAATTCAATCAGAAAGACATTCAAATAAATTTTTGAAGATAATTGCGCAGTTAAAGAACACAGTATATTTCAGAAACCCATTATAATGTCATTTTGAATATCATGAACAATCATCTTCAAATTGTTGGGAGCATTATTCAAACAACATTATGAATACCTTCATTATGATTTGGTAGAAAAGTTAAGAGTTCAAAAAAATCCCTTGGTTACTTGACTCTTTTGATTCATCACAACCTCAAAATGCTAACCCTTTACACAAGAGGAACTGAATACAATCAATGGAAGCGGTCAATCTAGTACGATTTTCAGTTCAAGCTTGATTTGTCTGTTTAATCAAAACTGTTTGATGTGTTGATTTTAATTCATCAAACACTCAACCTTTTTCACAGCTTCATTGTGAGCACTATTAGGAGGTCCTACATGAATATTAAACCTCTCCTTTTTTCAAATGAGGAAAACCCTCCATTATAAATGCCTCACCACCACTTTGTTTTCCCACGTCTTGTCTAGAAAGATAACAATGTAAGCAATATGCCGAATCTTTCGATATACTATATTCTAGTCATTGCCTATGTTTTTTTGGGGGGTATGGATGCATGGTTGACATGGGCCATTATGTAAATATTTCCTTCTTACCTTATCTTGATCATCCGGATGATAATTAAAAATTCCTTTTCGTTGTCCGGGATATAACGGAAGCTCTTCTAAAATCAACTTCAACACGAGCTCCCGTAGAATGTTGTAATTGTTGTTCACTAGATTTTCCACATCCTTTTCGAGTGGTGTCAATTTATAATTTATGAAACATTACATATACCTATACAAAGAATTTTTATTTTTCAGTGGTGTCAATTTTAGAATTTTGAAAAATTTTATATAACTACTTATGAGGAATTTTTTTCAGTGGTGTCAATTGACACCACACCTCCCTTGTTGGCTCTGTCCCTCGCCAGTTTTTCTTTTGCCCCTGTTCTTTACCCTTTATTTCCATTCTCATTTGTCTATTTTAATCAAAAGAGCTTTTTCGTAATAAATTCATGGGAATTGGAGGTCCACTCCTCGAGCATTTTTCTAAATGATAAAATCACCAAATATTTTTCAGCCTTTCATTTTACGATTCATGTTATCATATGTGACTATTATATTGTTGATCATCACTCATCTATCAGAGCACTCTCCTCTTTGACTTAAGACACACACAAAATAAAAAAAGGGTATAATGTTGCACCCCGTCAAAAATTGAGGGAATCATACCTATAACACGTATAAGTGTCCACATTATTATTTTACCACTTATTTATATTTTAATTACTTAATTGTATTATTTTGATTGATCGATATGGATAAGGTACCGTACCTTAAAAGTACCATAAAAGTTGTCAACCAAAAAATGATGTTATGGTGAAATACCATACATTGAATGAAAGAAAAATATTTGATGATTTATCACTAATTTTATCGAGTCAGCCTTAAATTCCAACAACCTTAGGGAAACCTCTTATATGAAAAAC